GGCCAACAAAGCTGGGCCGAAGTGCCTTATCTCTGAGGCCTTCCCCCTCAATTTGGGGTACTTTCCTGTGCGGATGAACATTGACAATTTCGACAAATATCTGAATGGTGTGGGCGTGGCGTGGTTTTTGAAAAAGGTTTTCAAAAAATCCCAGCAGTTCTGCAAGTTCTGGTTCGCGTCATTTGGCATGACCATAGAAACCAAGAGGGCCATCACTGAGCCAAAGATGTACTGATCTACGCCCAAGTACTTTACGTGAACCCAGTCGTAGGCTATTGACCAGCAACTCGCCCCAGGAAGAGTCAGCAAAATGCACTTCGAACGTTCGTCCCAATTTCTCCAAACGTCGGCCTCCCAGCGGGTGTTCCTCCACATAGCCTGTGGTCGAAAATCTGTCCATGTTGCAGCGCCAGTCCCAGTGCATTTGCAATGCATACATGGGCCACCCACTGCGGAATAGTTGGGGGTGCCAAGCATGGCGTTGAAGTAGTCAAGGTCTCCTGTGAGTGCCCATAGGACACCCTTCCAGCCACCAGCCAGCCAAGACCCGGCTCTCAAGGCTTCCACAGAGCCTTCTTTGTACCTTACACAGCCGAAATTTTTCAGACCACACCTGAAACGCTGAAGAGGTTACACCATGAGAGGAACTTTTTGTACCCCTGAGAGGTGACACCATGAGAGGAACTAGGGTAAAACAGTTCAGCTTCAATGTTCATGGTTATCATGTTCCAGGTTCTCACGTTCCATGTTATATTCTTTTATAAATGGATGACCTCTCTCAATTGCATATGTATTCATATTCCTGCTGGTTTGTTGCATGTACATTTAACAGCAAGACATGTCTGCAAAACTTCAAGTTGCTTCTCTCCTCTGTGATTCCTCGAAGGCCACCTGCCTTCCGATAACGCCAAAAAGCTCCATCTCAATATGGAGTAGAACTCCAGCAGTGTGCCTGATGCTTGGTCGCCCACCTTCAGCTTGTCAAAGAACCCCCACACCCACATGAGCATTGATGGAGTGGTACCATATCCCAGAAGGGAATACCATGAGTAATTGGTCATCACTCGACTCCACACTTTCCCCACACCAGTGACTGGAACTCCGTCACCGTGCACGGCAATAGGCACAGTCCAACTCTCCCATTGAGGGGAGGAAGTCATGGGGTGATCACGCATCTGGGGATGAAGCCGCATGGCTCTCCAAAACTTTTGCACCCGCTCAACGCTTGGCACAACTGCAGTGGACCAGACCTTCTTGTAGTTGCGGTATAGACAAGCAAACATTTCATGTGGCAACAGCATCGATTGAACTGAGTCAGGAAACCCTTTCAGTGGCACTTTTGCTTTGAAAGGCTTGGGGATTTTTGGAACATGCTCAACTTTGCTCATGAGCTCGGCGTGGATGTTGTTCGCGTGTTTTCCTTTGGTCCCCAGATTGGACAGGGTGTAGAGGTCTTTCAAAACTTGTGGGTCTTCCTTGGATCGTTCGATGTCCTTCACAGCCATTTCAGCGATCTGCTGAACTCTTTGTGGCGAAAAGAACCCCCACGCAAACAAGTTCAACAGCAGCAAACACAGAGCAGAGCTCTCGCAGCTTGCTGGCGCCTCCTTCTCGGCAGCCTGTTGTTGTAATCTTTGCTGATGGCCGCCGCGGCGTTTCTTTCTTGGGGGTTGCCAATCATCCATCATGGCTGTCTACAGGCTGGATATTGACCACTAGTGGGGCCAATATAAAACAAAACCATGGTTACATAGAAGAAACCCAGAAAGGACTCTTCGATACAGGTTGATTTGCTCCTCAGCGAATTGACAGGCCAATGTGAGCCTACCACAATGGCACAATGAACTTGTGGCTGGTTCATGATGAGTATATGTGAAGTCCTCTCATGACTGAACAAACGCAAACAGAGATAGGCCGGTGAAACTGCTGCCATCTATTTGGTTGACCCTCTTCACATAAGAATCTTTGACGGCGAGTGGCGAACATGAACTCTGACACCCTGACTGTTCATTTCTCCATGGTTTTCATGAATCTGTCATGGTTTCATTGGCTCATTGGCTCTCATGGTCTCTTTACATCTTATGGCTAGTTCTCCATGGCTCTCAGTTTGTTTCACTCTCTCGTTTCTGTGTGACAGCCTCTCAAAGTGCCTCTCAGCCTCTCAGGGTGTCTTTTG